TGCTCCGTGGGTCGCAAATTGGAGCTTCTATGGCCGGCTGGATCTTCTCTGGTGTACTATATCCCTTTATTTCGGCCAATTTCTACTATTTTTCCAGCGATCCGCGGAGCCTGGTAGAGGCTAACACAAGCCCACAACTCGGCCACCCGAAACAATACTTCCAGTTGCCTTACCTGGATACTGTCCCTGCTGCCAGTGCTGCTGATTGTAAGTGTAGTCATACCCCTGTCCCTGCTGTGCCTGATCAGCCTCGTACCCAGTCCCATAGTACTGACTGTAATCATACTGCTGGTTCTCCTCATAGAAGCCTTGACTATAGTAACCATAATCATACCCTTGATTCGCATCATACTGGCCATAGTAAGTCGGATCATATTGCTGATTTGGGTCATGCTGATCGTGATTTTGACCTTGGATTACGTCATGCACTTGACTTGCGTTGTCCTGATTTTCATTCGTTTGGGCTTCATTTGTTCCCTCCGTCTTTGGTGGACTCTCTTCCTGGATTTTACCTTGTTCCGTGGCGGCCTTACCGTTCCCAGCATCCCCTGCTGCAGCAGCGGGGACGTCACCGTCCCCGAACTCTTCTAACGGATCGAAGAACGCTGCGCATTCTTCATCATTGTCTGACGCTTTCCTACTGCTTTTCGCAGGCTCTACTGATACTGCCTTTTCTATATCTTTCGAAGTAGCTTGTTTTTTGGACTCACTTTCGTATATCTCATCTTCCCCAGTCCTGTCTTTCGTATCATCTTCCGTAGTCTTCTGACCTGCGGATTTTCCGGTGGGTAAAACGTCGTCGTACTCTTCCCCAACTCTACCAGACGGAATCACGTCCTCGTAACTGACTTTGTCATCCTCTTCCACGTCCCCTTTGGAATCTCCGTTTTGTTTCGTCGTTTTTTCAGCAGCATTTGGACTAGAACCTTTCCCCTCTTCCTTACTCTTCTGTCCCGTACTATTGTCTACTTCGGCGGGCGTTACATTTTCATACGAGGACCCGTTTACGCTTGCCTTTACGTTTTCCGTCTCTTCCTTTCCCGTCCCTTTCTTTCCATGTGGAATAACGTCGGTATATTCAGTTACGTCGTCCTTGTCACTTTTTTTATCACTACCAGGGGGTAAGTCTACATCGGCATACTTTACGTGTTTTTCCTCCTTCTTTGCCGAATCCTTGGCGTCGGTTTTCTCTTCCCCTGACGGCATGACTCTGATTTTCTTGGTATCCGGCCTCAACACGGCTTCCTCGCTTTTCTCTTCAGCAGTACTAGTCGCTCCGTTCATGTCTTCAGTGTCGTCCCCATCTGGTGTGTTTGTAGCGTTCCCTGCGAGCAGGATGTTAGGAATGGTGGTTCTTCTTTTCACGTCCAGGTCAAAGGTTCCCTCCACCTCCTGGCCCAACTCATCATCATCCGTTAGGACCTGTTGGTAGTCTTGTTCTTCTTTAGACCCCTCTTGTCTGAAATATTGAACAAAGTAAACTAAGGTGATCAACTAGGGTGGTGTTAACTACATATAATTTATAAATGCATGTGACATACAAATTATATACTTTCCTCAAGGTAGAATTTTAGGACCACTTTTGACTTTAAATGGCAAAGCTTATACTAATTACAGATGGCATTACACCTAAAAGAAAGATGAAGCGAATTTATGATCTAGAAAATTATGATCATGTAATGAATTTTTGGGGGATCTGGATCCTCCCAAATTTTTTCATATAGGGGAGGAAGGCAACTTTTCTACAATTGCTTTCGATCCTATGATCAGAATGATTTTTAGAACACCTCTAATCAAGTTGTGTTGAAAAGTGACATCTATATATTAGTTAGCATCTTTAGCAATATGATTATGCCTTAGGTCACACCTGCAGATAGTTTGAGACTTTATCTAGATATACCTTGCCTTATGGAACCCTTCACCATCACCTTGAACTGGTTTCAATCTATCTTCTACCAAGATCTCAAAAGAAAAACATGCGAGCCATGCATGCTACATGCTTTAACCTTCTTCCTGCTGCTTAACCCTGGAACCAATACAAATTTCATGCCAGGAGGCTACTTCAGTAGGGAGAAGGTTAAAAACCCTGATTTACATACACCGACAAAACCTGATGTACACATTAACTTAATGCACACGCCAGTGTTTGAAACCAGTGCGCAAGTCAAATTTATCCTGCGTGTAAATTGGCCTGCTTTGATGAATGTGCAGAATGTACATTCAGAAATCAGATCATACGTTACCACGAAGGCTGGCTTACGATCTGAACGCACGTGGAACATTCTTGACGTACGTCAAAGCACGCTGATACTCGCAGGAAAAATTTGATGTACACTTTCTTTGTACGTTTGTGTGCATGCGCACTGTGCAGTTTTCGTATATCAGGTTTTTGACCATGTGTAAGTCGGGTTAAAGTCCCCAAGCAAGAAGGATGCTAGCCTGGGTACCATCCGGATTTTCACTATGCAACGCTCGAAAAAATCACGCGTTGCGAAAATCTAGATGGTACCCAGGCTAGAAGGATGCACCATTCAAGACACTGTCTAGTCTACCACATGCAAGGCCATGCAAGGACTCTCCACCAAAATCCCAAACACATTTACCCCATAGTGAAAACGTATGGCCCGACTGGCCAAAATTAGCTAGGAATCTCTGGCTTCTGTGTCAGTCACAGGGTGCTGTGTGGTTGTGGACTAGAGCTGTCCCTGCTAGTTGCTGAAGGATGGAAGATGTCCTTAGAGATGCACTGCATTGGTTTTATTTCACAGGTGTTAGTTATTAGTCAATCTATGCTGTAACTTCAGACCTTCTGTACAAGTCATCATGTATCTTATAGTATTAACAGAGGGTCAGGCCCATTCATTTGATTGATGTAATTTTTTTTAAATGTTGGCCAACGAAATCAATACATCTGAATACTTTTAACAGGCAGCAGTGGAAAGACTTTGATTAATCTTAAGTACAATGGGTTAACTCTCCAGTGTCAAGGCCAATATGACTTGGCGCATGCAGTCTTAGTTGACCTTGACAGTGGAATACTGTAAGTCTCCTCTTAGGCCACACCAATTTAATTTCTTGGTTAACGGATTTTTCTAGAAAAATAATGGAGCGGGCGGGCGAAAAAAAATATATAAATAAAAACAGGCCTAGGCATCTTATTGTGGCCCAAAATGGTACGATAGGAGCCATGAAGTCAACACACCAGGCTGGATCAAAATTTAAACAAGAGTTCCGAGATCTCATACCTCCATGAAATATGGGCTTGATATGTAAATGTAAATTTCTTCTTTAATTATGCAAATGGCCTCTGCATTAACATAATATATGCATCGTGATGTTAACTTTTGATTAACTTAAAGATGTCCCAAGTAAGACATTCCCATCATTCACCATTGAGAAGTCATATATTTTTTGCATTAATTATGCAAATTAGGTCATCATTTGCATAATTAGTATCTGTTGATGTTCCATCTCCCATAGGTTACATACATTACATGTATGAAAGTTCTATAATGTAAAACACTGTAATTATAGAATTTCCTCATTAATTGTGCAAATAAAGTCCTCATTTGCATAATTTGCAGTTAATTATGTACATCTCTCTGTCAGATACCTACACACCAAAAATGATGAAAATACGCTGTTCCTATCTGGACTTATTGGCTTTCAAAGATTTCGCCCGAAAGTCCCCTGCAGTTCCTGAACAAGCTGCTAGGGGGACCAAACCCACACCACTTATTCCTAACAGGAAAAGCTATCTGTCACCAAAAATTGAAGACCATAGCATGTTCAGGACAAAAGATACAAAAACCGGAAGTTCTGCTGCAGTACCAAGGTCATCCACCAGGAGGCCCATATTTGACCTTGACCTTTGTCTTCCTAAGACTTATCAGCATACCAAATATCATCACAATCCATAAATGCGTTATGAAGTTATGCTGACTACAAAGTTGCGGAAACACACACAGACACACACACACACAGACACACAGACACACAGACACACAGACAGACGCCGCCAAAAACAATACCTCCATTTTTCATGGAGGTAACAATGAATTTTGAACTTTTAATGATACCACTGCATTGAAAGATGGAATGACTGTAACAACTAGGATGAAAAGGACTGTTTTCAACTGTTCAGGGCAAAATATGAGCATTTTGCAGTTGATTCTGAATTTTTATTTTTTATTTTTTGCAAATCAGAAAAAAATGAAGCGGCGAATCTGTTAACCAAGAAATTAAATTGGTGTGGCCTAAGCCCTTATGCAAAATAGTAAATGCAAGGAAAAGTGCTTGTTTCTCAAATCTCATCTCTCTGAACCTCATATAGCCGAACTTCCCAAAGAAACCTAAGTTAGTGTCTTACTAAGTACTGTAAATTCATTTATTTTCACAGGACCTTAATTTCGTGGTAGCAGCAAGAGGGAGGGATTTGCAGTGTTTGAAGTTAACAGTTGAAAACAATACTACAATTTAAAACTATATTCAAAGTGTCATGATCAGTTGAGTTTCCAAAAATAAATTCATCACTAAAATTTCAAGATTAACAGTACTACTAGTACACACTAGGCTAATCTCCAAGCAGATCTTTTGGTGGGGATAAGACAGTATCAAATTGGCCAGTCTGTATCCATTTCCCCACCCAAGGCCAATTTGATACTGTCTTACCCCCACGGCCACCAAAAGATCTGCTTGGAGATTAACACTAGGCTACTGTACTTTTCTATGTAACTAAACCAGACCCCCCACCCCCATCCCTCAAATCAATTGGACATGCAAGAACTAGGCCATAACAGGACTCCCCAGTTGAATCCTTGTCTAGTCTGTACCCCTTGTAAACTGCTGGTCAAGTGTACTTTGTCAAGAATGCATGTAACAAACAGAATCAGTGTCCCAAATCTCCTGGAAGTAGGGTACACAAAACAGTCTAGACAGAATATATTGTACACAAAGTAACTCTTTTCCTCAAAGTCCTACTTTATATATGTCAGGTATCAATAGGAAATCAAGACCAAACTGGATGACTAAATGACTGATTGATGTCAGAAAAATATAATTTGCTATCAACAGAGACAAAATGTTTGCTGCGACTGGTGCAAATGTGATACTGGGAATAGTACTATTATTAGTAGGATAGTTTATGATTGATTATAAGGCTACACCAATTTAATTTCTTGGTTAACGGATTCGCCCGCTTCGTTTTTTACTGATTCGTAAATAAAAATAAAAATTCAGAATCAACTGCAAAATGCTCTGAACAGTTGAAAACAGTCCTTTTCTTCCTGGTTGTTACAGTTATTCCATCTTTCAATGCAATGGTATCATTAAAAATTCATTGTTTGAATTTTGAACCAGCCTGGTGTATTGACTTCATGGCTCCTATCGTACCATTTGGAGCCATAATAGGATGCCTAGGCCTATTTTTTTTTTCGGCCACCCACTCCATTATTTTTCTAGAAAAATCCGTTAACCAAGAAATTAAATTGGTGTGGCCTAATACATGTATGTGCAAACTGCAAAGCCATAGGAGTAGAAAAATTAAATTACATTGTCACATTTGGTTGGAACTCAACTGAATATTCATGTGCACATAGTGACAAATACTTGCACTCCTGTAGTTCTTGTAGTTTATGGTAACAAAGTCAATATTGACATTATAACAAGGAGTGAGAGTCACTGGGACAAATTCCACAGGAAAGCTATTTCACAGATGTCATATCACAGCTCTAATTTCAACATAAAAACATATATAACATGTCTGACAGGGTTCAAAATTTGTTAACAAATTCTAGGCCATTACTTTTTATGCACTCACAGAACTCCCTGGTCATACATAGATATTTCACAAAGTCATGATCATGTAAATTTTCGTAATGTGAATGAAAAGGGCTTGCTCTAAAGAGGCTATACATGTAACATTATAATGCTTGTGTGTATTTCGAAACAATTATCTTATAAGATAATTGTTTCGAAATCATTTTTTGTTGTGATGAATATAAGTTATATTCATCACAACAAAAAATGATTTTCCAGCAAAAATTCAATGACAATACAAAGTATACTATATTTTTACACACCAGCAATTTTAATATTTCCTGACTTCCCAGTTTTTCAGAGCGCTGGGACCAAAAGCAGCTGTCAGAAAAACAGACCTATGTCCATGATATCATTCCAAAATTTCTTCTACCTATAGCTATCTGCTTGGACATATTATCCTTCCTTATGATTTTATACCAATATTTTGTTAAGTGTTGGCAGATTGAATACCGTGCGAAACATGGGCAAAGTCATGCCACTTCCAATTTTGGCACGAGCAGTTGCTCACACTGCTATGTATAGTTTGGGTCTAGTCTAGACTTGGGGTCAAAGGTTCAATTGGGGATAGCTTGAGCAGGAATGTAAAACATACCATGTCCTCTTCTACATCTCTCCTACTGGGCTAAAGGCTGAATTTTCCATGGAAATACATGTGGATTACCGTAGGAATAAACTTATATAAATTATTACATCTTAGGCCACACCAATTTAATTTCTTGGTTAATGGATTCGCCCGCTTCATTTTTTTCTGATTTGCAAATGAAAATAAAAATTCAGAATCAACTGCAAAATGCTCATATTTTGCCCTGAACAGTCGAAAACAGTCCTTTTCATCCTAGTTGTTACATTTATTCCATCTTTCAATGCAGTGGTATCATTAAAAGTTCAAAATTCATTGTCAAAATTTTGAACCAGCCTGGTGTGTTGACTTCATGGCTGCTATCGTACCATTTTGGGCCATAATAGGATGCCTAGGCCTGTTTTTATTTCCCGCCCGCTCCATTATTTTTGTAGAAAAATCCGTTAACCAAGAAATTAAATTGGTGTGGCCTTAGTGCTGAATTTTCCATGCACATGCATGTGAAATACCGTAGGAATAAACTTAAGATTATTTACATCTTAGGTTACATGATTTCTAATAATCATAATCGCATGAACATTAGGCCACACCAATTTAATTTCTTGGTTAACGGATTTTTCTAGAAAAATAATGGAGCGGGCGGGACGAAAAAAAAATAGAAATAAAAACAGCCCTAGGCATCCTATTATGGCCCAAAATGGTACGATAGGAGTCATGAAGTCAACACACCAGGCTGGTTCAAAATTTAAACAATGAATTTTGAACTTTTAATGATACCACTGCATTGAAAGATGGAATAACTGTAACAACTAGGATGAAAAGGACTGTTTTCAACTGTTCAGGGCAAAATATGAGCATTTTGCAGTTGATTCTGAATTTTTATTTTTATTTGCAAATCAGAAAAAAATGAAGCGGGCGAATCCGTTAACCAAGAAATTAAATTGGTGTGGCCTTACCCAGGATAAAAATATCTGCCAGGCAAAAACAAGTAATTATTATTGAAATAAAAAATGTAAATCTTTAGGTTACATGTAGCTTTGAAACAAATCATAATCGCATAAATGTTACCCACTACAAGACAATTTGGCAAAAACAAATACTACATCAAATGTTGAAAGTTGAAATAGATTTAGGACAATGATTATGTAGGTCTTTTGCTTAGATATAGCTTTGAAATAAATCATAATTGCATAAATAAAACTCAGTGCAAAAAAAAAAATTGTCAGTCATACACAAATAGCAGCAAATGTTGAACGAAAATTGGCAAGCTATGTACAACATGTAAAGCATACCATATATATTGTATCATATGCCCAAATCCAGC